ATTCCATAAATATTAGCTGTAGTTAGCACTTAATGTTCAATATTCTGATACAGCTGAGATCTGTGTTTACAGATTTAGATTATTAATGGTCTTCTAGCACGCTTAAAGACATAGCTGTGATATACAGAAGTGTAACACTGCAACTGAAGGCTAAAATCTGCTTCAAAGATACCAAATATCATCACAAATATCATCAAGACTTCCCTGAGCTCATTCTGCATAAGAGCAAGAAAAGACGAATAGTCAGTGCTAGTTTTCAGCATGCAGTATGCAACAAATATGCTTAATTAAGAAAAAAATCAAGTCATCAGTAACAGTAAGCAAAATACAAACATCATGTTGCAATGGAATTATTTTTGCAAAGGCACTTTACAGTAAATTGTGTAAATAAAATTCCCTAAAACCAACATGAGATTTGTTCACTGCAGAGAATGATTTTTGCTGTGTTCAGATTGTCACTTAAAGCTGGAATTAAATCTCTTTGTTATTTACTTAATTAAAACACTCTTTAATGTTTGAAAAAGAAACACAGAAGTTTCAGAGTGCATTTTGAGGTCGGTTAGTTCTGCTGCAGTTAGGGAAGTTTCCTCTTCCCTTTCTCTCTTCTCCAAACAGATGACTTTTCCCTTAGAAAAGGATCCCAAATTGTACCTACCGTCAGTCAGAGGCCCAACACTACTCAGTACAGATTCTACAGCTAGATAAAGGCTACCTTTAAAACAAACCAAAAAAAAAAAAACTAAAACCAAACTCTTTCTTTTACTCATCACCAGGAAAAAAATTAGGAACAACTGGGTCACTGGTTGTTCAGTTACACTAGGGGAAATAAAAGTGGAGGGAGGGAAGCAATGCACATCTCAGAAAAACCACAACTCAGATGCAGCGCGGCTGCACGTCCCGAATGTTGTGTTAACATTGTCACTGTTCACGGGTGGGAGACCCACAAAACCTACATTAGAATCGTACAAGCAGTTTTTGTCTCTCAGAAGAAGCAGCCTCAGTTCTGCAAATAAAAAGAGAGAGAGAAAAATCTCCCTCTCTTTTCCAGAAGGTACAATAGAATAGAGATGCTATAACCCATTGTAACTTATTAATAATAGGTAAAAACATAGTATATTCCCAATAGGTAGTCTGGGCTGCTAATAGACAATGTCAGCACCATTCAGAAACTTCTTAGAGAGACTCTGCATGTAGACATTACAGATGGTACCAAACACTTTACTCATCCTCATAAGTAGGTGTAGCATAAGCCCTGTCATAAGTGTCTAATTATTTTATTAAAACTTCTGCACTGAAGGATTTCTGACTTTCTTGGCCCCAAGGTACTTTTTTTCAATAACTAAATACTGCATTTTCTCTGGCTCCCTTCTCATAAATTTCTATTGCTTCGTCTGGCCATAGCTAATACTAATTTCCTTTTTATGCCATTCCAGATTGAGACAGCAGATATGCATAGCTTTAGTTTCGACCCGAAAACTGGAATAGCCATGAAATACTGATCCACACCCCTAAATCTATATGTAGCAGAATTAAATAATTAAGAGAGGAGTTCTGTAAAGAAGAAACTAACTCATTTGTTCTAAGTTATTACCTTAAGAATCATATAAAGCATACGTTGAAACAGAAGATTGACAGCACAAGAAACAAAGAAAAACTACCAAGACTACAGTTTTCAGATTGACATTGGTTTCACTTTACAGCTCCAGGGACTGACTATCAGAGTGGTGAAAAATGCTGGAACAGGAGCAGGGAGAGCAAGATAAGAACATATTTGGATGCAGTTCAAATCCCATAAAACTTAAATCTTTAGTTAATATGTTAAAAATACTGTAAGGTACCTCTACTGCCCAAATTTTGCATCCTGTTCTAGCACCACGGAAAGCCAGTGACAGCTCTTTGCAGTCATGCATGGAAAAGAATATTGATTCAATTTTAAACTCAACCTGAAAATACTTGTACAAAGTATTAGATTTATTCATGAAGTGAAAGAATATCATCATGCTTTCTCAACAATTGTGGTTTTCTTTCTACTGTGGTGGTCAAAATATTAAAAAAAAATAAATTCATGTCAGCTAATTCTCACAGAAAGATTTCTAAAAAATTTAGAGACACTGTTGTCCTTAGCGGATACTTCTGAACACAAACAATCCACGCATAGTCAGTCTGACTCTTGGATACCAACTCCCTTATTTTAAACACCGTCTCTACACAATTCTTTTACTATTTCTCACTTCCTTTAAATATGACAGCAGGTAGAAAAAGATAGGTAAAAAAGTTTAAATGCCTCTGTTTTACTTGAGATTGCTTTCAAATAAGCTTAGTTTCCACAGATCCAAGTAAATATTGTATGCTTTAGACACCTGGGCTAAAGATCTCTCAACTCAGAAATTCGGAAATAGAAACAATTGAAATCAGAGGCTGCACTATAGTGCTGTGTCGTAACTGTTGCAGAAGAAAAATAGTAATAATCTTGGGAAATGACCAGTTTTCAGCCTTTCAAAAAGCAATGTAATTGACTAATTCTGTAACATTACATTGTCGGGTTTAAAATTGCAATAAACTACCATCAGTGCCGTTCTCAGTATCAGTTGTTCATAATCCAGGAACTAAAGAAGAGACATTTGAAAGAGATATAACATGAAACAGATGGACACACATTTTCATCTATTTAATTCATGCTGCTCTTTGATGTTTCTCAGCTAGCTTATGCCTGCTTGTTCCTCTCTCCTCCTCTTCCCTCTTATTTTGGTCTCTTTTTTCTCTCTGTTCACACCCTGACATCCCCAACTGCAGTCCCAAAAGAAAGAGCCTACGCTGCCAACTCATACTGGCACTCCTTCCAAGAAGGGAAGAAAAGGGACACGGGACCATTTTCATTCTACTGCCATTGGTAATGCAACAGAATAAAACCTTTATATACACGTGTATACATTCCATATGGAATATACGCACAAAACCTGCATCTTCAGGCCCAAGTAGCCTCAACAGTCTTGTTTGCTCTTACCCAGAATAAAATGCATTTTCCAAACCCACTATAGTGTGTAGAAACCACCACATAAATCCTCTTTTTTTTTTTCCTGAGATAAAAGGAAAGGGATGATAGAAAAAGAAACTCTAAAATATATATATATATATATATATATGTATATATCTTTGAAAGGAGAAGGGAAGGAGGAGGGAAGGAGGATATATTTTATCTGTGTCTGCTGGCCTGGAAAATAAATACTGCTGTTGTGCAACTCTGCAGCTGCTCACTCTCTCAATTTGTTGTTTCCTTTCTGGTTTTTATGATTTAATCTCATACCCTTACAGTGGACCTGAAAAGTGTTCAGGCAGCTTTATTCATTACTCTTGCTCCAAATCATGATCTTACAGATCATGATTTTTACAGATAGCAAGAATCAATTCTCTTTTTTTGACATGGCTCACCCTCTGATAGATGCAGCAATGATAAATTAACTCAGCAAACTTTCTCACAGTATTGGGTTTTGGTTGGGTTTTTTTTGCATTGAATCTCATGAAAAGTGTGTTTGCGGAGAGCTTTTCTTACAGTAATAGAATGCATGACAAATATACATTGTAAACTCAAAGTCAACACTTTCAAATTTTGGAAAACATTTTAGATTCATACAGGAAGGATTAGGGAAAAAGAAAAAAAAAACCAAACCCAAAACACTCACTCATTCCCATCTACCTGAACTACATAATATCGTTTCATTAGATTAGAAATAATTATGTCAATATGTTGTTTCCTACTTATGAGAGCTATTGCTTAAAAAGGATTGTGAAATGCCAGGTATATAGAAATGAGGTTTGTGAAGCAACACCTCTAGAATGCCACAAAAGATTTAAAATTCAAAACACTGAACTCGTACATGGAAAATGACTGAAATGACTTTACAATAGATCCTTCTAGGAGCAAGAAAAATAATTATGTTACAGCTCAGGCACTGCAACACCACCTAAAGATCTAACAATTCAGGCAAACAGAATGACACACAAAAAAGCTTTGTATCAGCATTAAGGTTCCCTGTTCCCTGGCTTTTATTATTAGGATGTTATATACATTTTCATAGGACATTATAAACATTTGCTTTGGCTTAAGCTTTGGAATGAAGAAATCAACCATTTCATAAGATGACTGCCTGCTACAAAATGACTGAGAAAAGATTATACCTATTCAAATAATTGTGTTGCTAGAAAGAAAACATAAGGTATTGAATCATGAGTAGCATGGGTCTTGGAAACAATAGAGTACATGAATACCTATGATCAAAATAAAATAAAAAGGATCCTTTCCTATAATCCAGAATTAATGTGAAATTGGATAGCACAAATCAAAGAGCTGAATTGTATACAAGCACAAATCTACCACCTGGACACAGCATACCTCAGAATGGACCTTCTGAGCCTATGAATTACATAGAGTAATATTTTGTATTTCTTTGATTCACATAATTTGGCAGTTTTCAGGGAGTCAAGCGTTACAACACATCAACACCTATACTCTGCTCACAAAGTTAAATCTTTGAAAACTACTATATATGGTTACTTCTCAACTGCCCTTAGCATAAAATCTTCACGTGACACAAATTATGCTAGTCTCACCTCAAGCAATGTCAAATGTAAGATGGTCAATTACTGAAAGTAATCTAACATGTGATCCTCCAGTGCAAACATGGTAACATTCTGTACAGCGCAGTGACTATGATTAGACAAAGTTGCAAGCACATGGACAACCTCAGTCACATGCTCATTGTCCGTGGTTGTTTGTTGTTTTTTTTTCAAATGAGAAGGAATGAAGAACATATATTATCCATGACCATCTGAATATAGTAAGAGACTCCTCAGCTGCTGCTTCTTAGGACTGTTTCAAAAAAGCGCACTATGTATTTTATAGGCTACAGACTAAAAATAAGATAGAACTTTAAAAGATAATATAAAATTTGTAGCATCAATTCAACAGATCTTATCAGTATAAAAATTAAATACTTTCTTACCTGTCTGATGTTGTGTCACTTGTTACTTGATGCTTTACTCCTGACCCATTCTTAATTGAGTCTTGTCTTGTGAGCCCTTGAGATCTGTTTTTGTCCAAAACTTGTGTGGATACATCACCTGATGGTCCTTGGTACTGGGAATGCTCCTGCAGCTTTGCTTTTTTCTCTTGAGGTGCTTCCTCGTTCCGCAGACCTCTAGTACCTTCTTGGTCAGGCTGCTGTGGTGCATTTGATCCACTGTTATAGAACCAAGCTCCTGATTTTGTGAGGATTTCTTGTTGTTTTCGGCACAAGTTACATACCCACATTACCTGTTCAGACATATGTAAATGGAAAATCTGTTAGCTTGCAAACACTGTATATGAAATTTTCATCAAGAATACATCAACTGATTGTTGACATTTCCAAATAAAGAAAGAATATTATTTTAATTCTTTCTATTTAAAATAAAATAGTTTAGCCACAGCACAATAAAATATGTCTGTACAATCTTGGAGGAAATTGGTTTAGAAAAAAATACAAACATAAAAATACTTTTGCCTCATCATTTATAATACCATGGAAAACCACAGATAGTAGCCATATAAATGAAAAGAATCTACCTATTCACATTCCAGTGGCAGTAAAGGTAAGATTTGAAAATTAAGGCTATAGATTGAGGATGATAGAAAATAGAAAGAAATAAAAAATTCATTAAACATTCCATCCATTCTCTTACTAAGCAAGGAACTTCGGAACAGATCCTCTGCTGTTGCAAACAAGTAATTTTACAATTCTCCAAAATGCTCTGCTGATTTACTTTTGTGGTTGTCTATATTAACATAAAGAAGCTGACTTCAAGAAGAGACTTGATTTTCAAAGCTATTGTAAATTAAAGCCATTTTATAAGTAAAAAAAAAAAAAATTCTCCACTTCATAGCCAAGATTTAGCTTTCACTGTATTCTTACTAAATTGTCAAAATGATTGCAGCTTCCCAGTGGTGAGATCCTGCGCATAATAATGAGATTGTTTAATATTCAAAAACGTACTTGCTTGCAAAGCTTTTGTATCTGATCACCTTAGTCACGTGGCAGTGCAGGAAATTGCCAGTGCCAATTATCTGTAAGTTAATTTCACATTCAGTTCTTATGTTATGTGAGAATAAATCAGGATGTAATGAATCAAATACACCAGACCAGTTATTAATACAATGGCACATTAAAACTGGTTATTGTGTTATCTTAAAATTTGGATTGTAGACAGCAGTAATCCACTGCAAGTCCTTCACTTCTTAGTATTCATTTTTTTCCAGCCTTAACTTAGCTTTTATGTTCTTTATGTATTTTTGTCTTAGTTCACAGACAAAATTGTATAATTTTTACTATATGTTCACTGAATGTCTACACCCAACCTTCAATCTACTTATCAGGCCTCCAGTTCTAAGCCTACACTGAGCTGCCTCTTTTTCAAGGGTTTACAGTACAGGACATTCAAAGGCTTACATTAATGCTCTTCTTTATTCTTTTAAAGGCCGCTAGCCAAATGGTTGAACTACATGGAAAATGTAGTTTGTACCTCACAATACATCTAACCTCAGTCTGCCAGAAAAGGTTTCAGAAGCTGCAATCTGTAGGCAGTTATCTAATAGGTATCTAATGGAAAATTTGGGCCATGCTGTCAAGTCAAGTCTCACCAAAAATGTTTTGATGAAAGCTTCATATAGAAGGTTACTTGGATGCAGGGTTGTACTCAAATTAAACTCCCTGATTGCCTCATTCACAAATTGCAGGGCTGGGGCAGGAAAAGGAGGTATCACTTGCCCATTTAATGGTGGCAATATGCCCCATCCAGGTAAATTTCCTTCTTAACTTTTTATAGTGCTGATACTCCATCTTTGAGAACTGTTTATTTCAACAAGACAGAACAAACCATCAGAGCACTGAGGGTAAAAAAGAGAGAATTCCCAAGTAGCATCTTGCTTTCTGAAGTAGGTTAGATGTTCTGAGAACAACAGTCAATACTGTGTATATTTCAGGCTTGGCCATCATTCAAGTACTAATGTAAGAACAGGTCTGTTCTACCTTTGCTAATTAAAAGTACACAAAAGCTCCAAACTTAAATTTCAGCACCAAACATAGAAGTATTTTTGCTCTCTTTAATCAATAGCAATTAAATGCCTTTAATATTTCTGCTTGGTTTGTACACAGCCGAAAAAAGTTTTAAAAGTTCCATGTATGTGTCAGCACAATGAAAGGATGAGATCGGAAACAATTATTTAAGTATATGAACATATGATATTTTAATGACTACAAGATAAAATCCCCCCAAGTTTTTTTGTGTGCTATTTTTCCTTCTATTAGTAGATGTTAAAATGTCACAAAATCTCAGTATCACAGTCTAAACACTTGAGCAACTATGTCCTTGGCTGACAGCCATGTTTTGTCCCAGGACAATGCACTCCAGGATGACCAGTATTATTCCCTTGTACCCAACAGAATGAGAGTTCCTTTTGAATGAACATGATTTAATATCTCCTCCTCTAAAAGTAGAATCAGGAAGAGTACTCCTGACCTAACCTCTTCCCCATGACACACAAAATTTAGTGACCTGTTTCAACATAAATCTCAGCTCCTGCCAAACCAGGTAGACAACAATGTACAGCAGAACAGAGCAAAACAACTGTCAGTGCTGTGAGACCCAGATGAAACAAGGAAACAGTTTATTATAAAAGGTCGATCAAACCCAGTCCCTGACTAAAGATGCTATGGCTGTCTTTGTTGTCACTATCTGCTGTATCATCATCTGGTATCTTATTTTCACTTCTATGTCTTAGTGAAAAGCCACTTCCATCAGTGACACATTAAGGAAGACACCATATTATCTTCCAGGCCCTACTGAAGTCAAACTGCCTCCAATTGTTTCCATTGTACAATGTTTCTTACAGACTACCAAAGTCATTGGGTCACACCTGCAGGAAACAATATGAGCACTTAAACTGAAAGCACCTCATGAAACAACAAAAAAAAAAAGTCTTTTAAAAAAATCTGAAATTTTTAAATTTTTTTTAAGAAAAGTTTACTTAAGGTATTTCATGTTGAAAAAAATTAAAACAAACAGCATGAAAAACGTTTATATTTATGCCTTTTGCAGATTTTTTTCTGCCTTTCTGCAAGTGTTTCATAATATTTATAGTTAACACCTCCATACATCCTTATTTCCAATGTACTTTCAACATGCAGACTTCCATAACTTTGACACAAGCAGGTATAACTCCAGCTCCAAATAATCACACACAGTAAGTAGAATAGCAACTGTCATACACATGTAGAAATTTAGATGCTTTCAGTGAGCACCAAGAAATTCAAGCCTTTGATTAGTACAGGGCTGCCCTGACTTCTCCATCTTATTGTAGCATGTAGAAGCGTTCTTGCAATTTAAAAAATACTGGTGATTTACAGTGCAGACCTCTCAATTAAATGACAGACACAAGTGCAAGACAGTATCGTATGAGTGCAGACAGGAAGGTGGCATATACCCGGACAGGATTTCTCCTGCCACCAGGGCCTGTGACAGAGCACTCAGCAGCTCAAACACATGCAGGGCAACTCTGTCAGGGCAGCTCTATCCTCACCAAGTCCCCACTAGGACAGAGTGACTGTGACAGCAGCACAGCAGAGGGAAGAAGGGGAGACTACACCAGTGGATCGCATGCTTAATACATGCATTTTGATGTATATGCAAAGAAGAACCACAGAAGTTTCCCTCCTAAAACAGTAATTTTAAAAGGGCTGATGCCTTACATCAGGAATCTGCACTCTAAAGTAGGCACGCTACCTACTACACCCATTTTCAAATCTCCTAACATGAACTCTAGAGTTCAACAGTCGTGAACACGTTCTGTACTAAAACATCAGTGTTGCAATTTGAGGGTGTCAGTTCTTCTCAGCATGAGAACACTACCAATTTGAAAAGGAAAAAATGGACAAATGGCTGCTTTCGATCATCTCTGATCATTATTTAAGTACTAGTTTAAAACTAGAATCTAAAGTGCTAGTGGTACTGTATCGAGATGTGCATTTCAGTACAAAAGACTGAAACACCATCTAGTGCCTAGAATAAGAATTGCTGAAGTTATTTTCAAATAAATTTCTCCTGTAAAGTGTGAAAATAACAACACGAAATTATCTAGCCTGACATTTTCATATTAACTCTTAATTTAAATTGGGCTTTTTAAGAAAAAAAATATTTTTTTATACAACACTGAAAAGAAGTATTCACAAATTGGATTAGACAGATTTACCTCAAAGCTTCCATGTGCTTTCCATTTGCAAAGATTAATTCTATACGTGGAACAAACAAGTTCTAAATATTTTTTGATTTCTTCACCAATTTTTACAAGATTATTCTATAATATTCTCTAACTTCTGCTAACACTCCCCAAAAGCTTTCGTCACATATTAGCACTTTTTATTACATAAGCACACAAAAACAAATTCTGCAAAACCTGCAATATCCAAGTAATCAGTGATTTCACATCTACACATCAGATACAATTAATGCACAAAAACTCACTCCTTCGTATTTTCCTAAATAAAACATTACAAAGTTGTCTAGCAGATTAAATTCTTCAAAACACATTTCACACACCACTTTAAATTTAAAAAAACAGAAAAGAGATTTATGAAGAAATTGCATCTGCAGACATTTTAAAGCAAAGTTATGTAATTTAATAAAATATACAGTATACATTATATGAAAAGATAGCTAACAAAATACCGTTCACTGTTCTCATAAGTATAATTATAGGTGGCCTAACACTAGCATCTAAGAACAAAACAGAAATCTTACTTTGTTTAAGATTAGATTAAAAGACACAGTGTATTTGATTACATATCAGCCTGAGTTTGATAGCGTTGATGCTAAAATCTCCGAAATAATTACACCAAATCCTCACCAGCCTTCAGAACACTGCTTTGAACTGCAGTTGTGCAGAGGTGAGAAAATCACACTGGAAGGCTTCCATAAGACAGTAAGGTTTATTGTTATGGTTCTACCAAATCTCTTAAGAGTTCATCTGCTTGGCAGAAGCCCATGATATATCAGCATTATATAAACTGTGGTGCTTGCTACTGGAGTACTTCAGAAAATTTCACTTGATTTAAATCTTTTTTTTTTTTTTTTTTTTTTGGGGGGGGGGGGGGGGGGGGGGGTGCCTGTATATCTCCAAACAAGTTTTATCTATTTTTTGCTTTATCAGTTCTGATGAAGTCATACTGGTCTCCGTGGAAAATAAAAATTCAGCAACTGAAAATAATTCAGGTATTGAAATTT